TCCATCTATTTATTTACCTACTTACTTAGTTGCAACTTCCATTATGACATAAGGAAAGCCTGCCATTTTTTTCATAATGGGAGGGAAGGGGGAATGGAATCCCTGGAAATGGATTTGAAATTCTCCATCCTGTTCAGGCTATCAGACCCCCTATGGCTGTGTTGCTATCAGCTGAAAGTCAGGAAACTCTGAACCTGTTAAAGAATCAAGAAGATTCAAAACAATAACGGCAAGAAAGACAATGCAAACTGCATTATGCGTAATAAAGGAATGAATATCTGTAGGGAATACCAAGGTTGAAACTGGGGAAAGAGGTGGGTGGAGGGAACCCTGTGCATTTTCCTCGACTGTCATAGATTTAATGATACATTTCATGGATTCCAGGAAATCCATCCATTTCTAGAAATCCGATGAAATTTATTTTTTCACCTGAATCCACGTGAAATCATTTCCCCCCTCTGGAAGTCCCCATAAAATCGCCACATTTCCTTATCAGACCATGAAATTATAGAGGATATTGCAAGCTTGCCTGGTGCATCGGAAAATGATAGGCTGGGCTCCTGAATTTGTGCTGGTGTCACTAGCTGAAGTTCCCTCTCACAGCAACATTGTACTACTAAAGGATGCAAGCTCAAAGGTGAGGCAAATCAAACAGAACATTATGAGAAAGTGTCCCTGTTCAACAGTCCAACATTTCTCTTATATTCTAGATATTTAAAGATCAGACTTGCACAACAGCAGGGTACACAGCTTCAGGCTACCACCAAAATGGAGGTCCAGAGTCAAGTTTTCACCCTCTCCATCTTGCTGCCATCTTGTTGTGCTTTTCCCTGCCTCCACCACTGGGAGCCAATGATATTGACTAGGATTCCATCTTCTTTTAAAGGGCCACTCTCCTGCAGTCAGTCTAGGGGATTGCTTGCATAATCCTCCTATACTCCCCACCCCAAAGGGAATCCCTATCCAGTTGTTGTTGTTGTTGTTGTTGTTGTTGTTTAGTCGTTTAGTCGTGTCCGACTCTTCGTGACCCCATGGACCAGAGCACGCCAGGCACTTCTGTCTTCCACTGCCTCCCGCAGTTTGGTCAAACTCATGCTGGTAGCTTCGAGAACACTATCCAACCATCTCGTCCTGTCGTCCCCTTCTCCTTGTGCCCTCCATCTTTTCCAACATCAGGGTCTTTTCCAGGGAGTCTTCTCTTCTCATGAGGTGGCCAAAGTATTGGAGCCTCAGCTTCACAATCTGTCCTTCCAGTGAGCACTCAGGGCTGATTTCCTTCAGAATGGAGAGGTTTGATCTTCTTGCAGTCCATGGGACTCTCAAGAGTCTCCTCCAGCACCATAATTCAAAAGCATCAATTCTTCGGCAATCATCCTTCTTTTTGGTCCAGCTTTCACTTCCATACATCACTACTGGGAAAACCATAGCTTTTACTATACGGACCTTTGTTGGCAAGGTGATGTGTCTGCTTTTTAAGATGCTGTCTAGGTTTGCCATTGCTTTTCTCCCAAGAAGCAGGCATCTTTAAATTTTGTGGCTGTTGTCCCTATCCAGACTCCTATGTAAATATGGCCCCTGGCTTAGATTATAGGAAAGCCTGGTTTTAAAAGCCTTCAGGAAAGGAACCCATCCATAGCAAGGACATAGGTGTTTTTTGTTTTTTTTTAATGCAATTGCTATTTTTGATTGTGTTAACCTGCATGTAATTATGCAATTATCCACAAATATTTTATGGGCGTTTTGCATATCTAAATAATTAATTTTAACAATTGATAGGCCTCTTTGATTAGTATTTTCACAGTGCAGCATGGCACACATTTGTCATCTTTCCCGTGATTAGTTATAATTTGGTATTTGTTTTATGCAAAGTGTTTTTATTGCGTGCTTGGCAAGGGGTGTGCGGAGGTGGGGAAAAGAAATATGTTTATCCACTCTGCAGACAAGCCTTCTCTCTATTGTTGTAAATAGACTTTTGCTGTATTGTGACATGTATTGTAATTTATGTCATTCCTCCTCTGATACTGGGTGTTTGAACACGCATCAAGGACACCCTTCCTGGTATGAAAGTACCCTTTGTTGCAGCTCATCTTTGATTTTCAGATCAAAAGCTAACTAAACAAATAAAATGCTAGGGCCCATTCAATAAGGCATTTAATTTTATTACTCCCAGAACAAAATGAGGTGCAGTTCAATCAGCACAGAAAGGTCAGAACATCATATAAATGCCACACACTGTTGTGTCCACTCAGCCTTCCCATTCTGAAACTATCAATATCCTAACGTAAGACGCATTCTATTAAATAGCGCTATAATTAATGATGCCATATTTGACCTACCAGCGACATGCAGTTGTCTCTTGGATGCTTGCAGGAAAGTCTCCATAAGAAAGGAGCGTCTGCCATTTTAGGTGGCAGCTCTCCTGGATGATGTTTCACACTTTCTAAGCTAGATTTTCCCAAACCTGGGTCTCCATCTGTTTTTGGACTACAATTCCCATCATCCCCAACAACTGGTATGTCTAGCTAGAGATGGTGGAAGTTGTAGTCCAAAAACAGACAAAGACCCATGTTTGGGGAACCCTGCTCCAAGCCATTGAAAGTCCCAGGAGATAGTTCCAGGGCCAGCCCAGGTTGCTGCCAGAATAACAAGCTGCAACCCTCTCTTGTCAACTCACCCATCAAGATGCAGAGTACCCAAGTCACATTGTTATTGCACATCAAGCAGCTAATCTCACAAGGGGAAGGGCAGTGGTAGAACATGTGTTGTGCATGCAAAAGGTCTCAAATTCAATTGCTGACATCTCCACGTAGTGCTGAGAGAGGGTCCTTCACCTAAAACCCCAGAGATCAGCTGCCAGGCAGTGTAAACAATATGGATTTAGATGGGTTCAATGGTCAGACTTGTCATCAGGCACCTTCCTATGTCCCTAAGTGTCCATTCCCCTCCTTCGCAGTAAAAATACCACAATAAGAGCTGTTGAAGTTAGCAATTTGCCACCCTTTCATAACACCCTATCTCAGCTGAAAGAGGCAGCTCCTTCACTCTGCCTAATGGTAGGGTCGGCCCAGGTCAGTTGCCGTTGTGAGGATAAGAGCACTGAAGGACTCAAAGCCCCTTTTGCAATAATGCTGCATATAAATGCACAGGATGACTATTAGGGAAGGCGGCACACAGTTTTCCAGTGAAGGGGACCAGGATGGGGAAACTCATGGGGCGGGGGTAGATAAAGGAGGAAGGGACATAGGAGTGGATCCACACTAGGATAGTTGGACTTGGTTCCCATTGACGCCAATGGGGGTTAAGTTATTGCTAACATGCCCGATTAATTTCAGTGGAGCATAAGCTCAGCTAACTTAGAACCATAGGGTACCTTCAGGGTACCTTCCAACCCCATTCAATGCAGGAATCCTCCTCACAGCCGTTCGTGAGTGAGCTCAAACCACAAACCTTCTAATTAACAGCCAAACACACTGAACCATTGTAGGGCTACTGTTTTGGAGGCAGTCACACATCTCTTGTAGGGCTGGCCCCATGTTAAAAAACACACACCCTTATTTGATTTAATGGTATGAGTTTTGTGTAACAAATTGATTATATCTGCTAAAGCAATTGTTCAGAAGCACAACATATATTTGTTTCGTTTGTAGAGCTGATAGTAGACTCATTTTCAGACTGTGGATCCTTATGTAGCCTAAAGGGAGGGGGGGTGGACCAGGGAATGGAATGGAGTATCCTGGAATGGGTCATAACTTGCTGGCTGGAATCTTGAAAAGGAACACTCCATACTGCAATGATTTTGTTGCATATCCCATTTGTCACCCATTCTGTATGAGAGAATGCCTCTGTTATGATGTTTGTCATCTCTCGTTTTTTAAGTTTTAACCATAACAACTTTTTTACAAATCTGTCACCCAACTTCAGAAGAATCTTTATTTGCATCAGCCACTAGCCATAATAATAAAATAAAATGTACTGAAGATAGAGGTAAAAACTTAACTATACAAAATACATTTAGGAGGTTTACCTCAATAATCAAACAATAGATCTTATTCTAATTGCCCCCACTAAAAACCTTGCAGTTTTTGCCACCTAACTTATTGAGGGCACCTTTTCAATTGATTAAAAGTATTTTTTAAAAAATCTATTACAGTGGTGCCTCGCAAGACAAAATTAATCCGTTCCGCGAGTCTCTTCGTCTTGCGGTTTTTTCGTCTTGCGAAGCACGGCTATTAGCGGCTTAGCGGCTTAGCGGCTATTAGCGGCTTAGCGGCTATTAGCGGCTTAGCGGCTTAGCGGCGCTTAGCGGCTATTAACGGCTTAGCGGCTTAGCGGCTTTAAGAAAAAGGAAACAAACTCGCAAGAACTCGCAAGACGTTGCGTCTTGCGAAGCAAGCCCATTGGGAAATTCGTCTTGCGGAACGACTCAAAAAACGGAAAACTCTTTCGTCTAGCGAGTTTTTCGTCTTGCGAGGCATTCGTCTTGCGGGGCAGCACTGTAACTTATTAAATGAATAGCAATTGTGGCTTGCAAAATTGCAAATTAAACATTGCAGACCTTACCTTCTGTAATGTTCAGCTCTGCTTTTAATAAAGACAAATTGGGCCCTTTCATCATAAGACATTTCTACACCACTGTATGTGAAGTATTCTTTCCCTAACAGGTATTTTAAGCACTAGGAGCTATAGATCTCAGCATTCAGCACTCAGTCAACACAGAAAGCTCAGTTTCAAGCCTCACTCCTGACTACGGGCATAAAATGCAGTGATTCTCCAAAGGATTAAGTTGCTGCTCAGAATTCATGGTAAAAAAACCCACAAACGCTTTGTAGAGTTTGGGGAGAGGGGACTTAGCCTTTGTAGTAATTTTGGCTGCCTATCAGGGTACATCAAAAGCTGCAACAACCACCATGCAAAAAACCCTCAGTTGCCTGAGTTTCTCTTGCCATTCACGATCCATTCCAAAAGAAGCATTTTTATCACAAAACCCAGTGGCAACTTGTGTCTCTGGAGCATATAATCGTTCTTCCTCTTTCAACATTTTATTCTTCTAAAATTTTAATTGGTCCTGCTGCTTACAAGCACAGTGGGATCTGATGTGCATATGTTCCTTCATGCTCTGGTGGGATTGCCCAGGATTTCCTAAGGTATCCCTCAGAGCAGGTGCTGAAGAAGAAGAAAAAGAATAAGAAGAGTTTGGATTTGATATCCTGCTTTATCACTATCCGAAGGAGTCTCAAAGCGGCTAACATTCTCCTTTCCCTTCCTCCCCCACAACAAAGACTCTGTGAGGTGAGTGAGGCTGAGAGACTTCAGAGAAGTGTGACTAGGCCAAGGTCACCCAGCAGCTGCATGTGGAGGAGCGGAGACACGAACCTGGTTCCCTAGATTACGAATCTACCACTCTTAACCACCACACCACACTGGCTCTTACTGCTGAAACCTTCTACTGTTCCTGAGCAAGCTCCAGTGTATGCACATGTCAGTACTGGACAACACCTCTCCGCGGCTCTGGGGCACGTTCTCTGTTACCATTGGTAGCATTTGACCTTGCTTCTATCATGGGTTTCAACAGGGGTGGGGAACCTCTGGCCAAATCAGTTTGCCAGACCTCCTCATTTGGTCCACCAAGTCATTTCAGCCAAGCCATGATGTGAGATGCGAGGCAGGTAAAGACAAGACTTCCTGCTGAAAGCTGATGGGCAGCACCTGCAAACATCTGTGCCTTTGCCCACATGGCTTGATTTCAACAGGTCACTTGACATCATTGTGACATCAGGTGATTGACAGGTGGGTGGCCCAGTTGTCAAGGTTGGCCTACAATCGAGGATGGTTTGATTTTCTTGCTTGCTTGTTTGTTTCTGCAGTTTGTGTTAAAGTTAACACTAATCAGGACACTATAACTGTACCCCTCTCAATTCCCACATTGTTGATTTTTGGAATTCTCCTTGAGGCTTCTCCATATTACTACTTTCCAAGATACCCAAACAAATGGATCGCTCTGGGAGATATAAGACTCCCTTATCCTTGCCTCTCATCCCTTGCTTCTTAACCGTGTTTTTATCTGCATCCTTCTCTACCTGGGGCTTAATATTTTTTCAGGATTCATCAGGGCAGAGGGAGAGAAGAGCCATTATGCTACCATCCTGAAAAGTGGGTTGCTGGTGCTTACCAGGAAGGAGAGGGGAAGGAACAAAGCCACGAGGAGGTTGAAATGGTGCAAATGCACTGGCAGGAGCACTGGATTGGCACCACTGATGTATTTCCACTATCCCAGCTTCCCCATTGCCTCATGCCTCCCCCTCCCCCTCCCAATAAGTAAGAGCATCCCAGTTGCTTGGGAAGCTAGCATAGCAGCTCTGCTTCTTCTGCTCCTGTGGGAGGCAAACACCAGTGTTATCTTAAAAGAAAAGTGCTCTCCCTCTGTCACGGCTAAAAATTGGCCGCTGTTTCTTTAATGCTTAAAAAGCTGGGTCAGCATGAGTCAGCGGCCTGCACTGGGTTGTATATAGAGTGAGAAATGTTGGGTTGGTTGGTTGGTTGGCGAAAGCTGGTAGTGTTGATGTGTGTACAGTTGGTCAGTCGCTTTTGCAGAAAGACTTTTAAGAATAAAAGCAGAAAGTACTCTGCAAGGATACTTTTCTTGTGGACTCTTTTATGCCGACAATGGTCTGAGGACCAGGCTGAGGCGACAAAGGGAGGTCAGAACCCTTTCCTTTTTTTTTACAAACACTGACACCCTCTGCCTATTTTTGAACCATAGCAGCCAGCATAGTAGTGGGCATCCCAATCTCACATACATCAGTGGGGTGGGAAGGGAGTGATCACCTAACTGCCAGTCATACACATCACTGCTGCATAGCAGGACAGAGGGGGGGGGCAACATGATCAGTGTGGTGCAAGGCACTGGTGAGAGTGCATGAGTGGCACTGCCAACGTGGCTGCACTGCGCTGACCTCATCCCAGTCTGCAGCAGCAACACCGGCAACAAAGAGTCAAGAAATACATTAACTTGGAACTGTGTGTGAAAAAATTGTAGAAATAATAATACAATGAGTTTAATCGGAAGCCAAATGTGTTTGTTTTGCTTTGTTTTTCCTTTTTCCTCCCCCCCCTTTCCCCTCACTCCTTCCCCCTTCTTCTTTCTCTTCTTTTTTTCTTTTTTTGTGTCTCCTTTCTTGGTCTTTCTCTTTTTGATATGTTAAGAAAGAGATAACGAGATAAAAGTGTAATATGAAAACTTCAGTGTTAAAAGTGATGTTACGTAATATTTATTATTATTTATATATGGTTAAAAATGGTTAATTGTAACGAATTGATGTAGCAACTACTGTGGTTTTCCCCCTCTTTGTTATTGTTGAATTCTAAATAAAGTATTACTGAAAGCCAAAAAAAAAAGAAAGAGTCAAGTTTGGTTAAGAAATGCCATAAATAAATAATATAAATCATTGGCTACAGAGCACCGTGCAATAAACTGCTATTTGGCTGGTATCAATCTATACTATGTATCTGTCTACATACACACACACTTGATTTTCTACCATGGATTGTACATATGTGGGCCAGCATGTTTGAAGTCCGTGGGTTCTCCCTACCACCACCTGTCAGCTTTTTCTCCTAGGCTCAGGCGAGAGAGAAAGGAAGTCTTGAATCAGGTTCTGTCACTCAATAAGCTCTCTGGCTTGGACATGATCCTTCTACGGCTGGTTAAGCCAGCTTTAGGGCAGCTTTATCATGGCAGAGTCTTAAAACAGGGAGGATTTAGCTCAGAAAGTCAATTTCCTCCATTTAACTGATGGAAGTTTCATTTTACACACACACACAGAGAGAGAGAGAGAGAGAGAGAGAGAGAGAGAGAGAGAGAGGCCAGAATGTTAGCCATGTTATATAGTTCATTAAAGCAATTTTTAAAAAAAAAAAATTAAAAATCCCCCAACCACTCCCTATATTTGCAAACTCAAAACTCATAATAAATCAATCAAGGCAGTGCACCAGACTTGTGCTGTATGCATCACTTCTTCACATACTGCACAACTCATTGATGGGTTTCCCTGACACAAAGCATGGTGACAGCCATTGGGTTCAATGGCTTTAAAGAAGAAGGATGAGACGAACAGTAGCTCAGTGTCTTCCAATGGTTCCGCCACTGGATCCTCCATATACAAAGGATATAAGAAGAGCCCAGCTGGATCAGGCCAAAGGCCCATCGTCCAACTTTCTATTCTCACAGCAGCCAATCAGATGCCTATGAGAAGCCTGCAAGAAGAACCTGAATACAAAGGCAATTTCCCTGCTTGCAATTTTCAGCAACTGGGATTCAGAGGCATACTGCCTTCAAAAATGGATGTGGAACATAGCCATCACATGGAGTAGCCATTGATAGCTTTACTCTCCCTGAATTTGTCTAATCCTCTTTTAAGGCCATCCAAGGTAATGCCCATCAATACAATATCTTCCAGGATACCTCTGAATACCTGATACCAGGAACAGTCTTCACCTTCATATGCTCCTCATGAATTGCCAGAGACAGAATGCCTTCAGGGACCTCATTCTGATCCAGTACAGATAATTGTATATTCTCATGCAAGAACCAGTCCCAATGGCCGGTCCTCTGCCCTATATGGACTGAAAATGCATTCCTTAGGTTCATTTCCCATTGAGATTTCCCCCAGATTATTTCCCCACTCACCTCCAGAATCCATTTTCCCCCCAAATCCGTCCAAATAATTCAATCTATCCTAATCTTAATTCCAGTTCTTCACATTTCCACATCTATTTGTGAATTATTATTATTTTTAACCTTCATGAAAATTCACTAAACTCAGCATTTTAGTGCAATGTTTTTCCTAACCAACACTTATTTGTATATAGTCTTGACTGTAATACACATTATTGCAGCAGGTTTCTCCAGTATATGAATTTTTATGCCCACTTTACCTAGTGTATGCATTTTTGTACACATTCCTTGGTTGGAGTACTGTACTGCAAATTTCGGAGAAATGTGAATGTTCGTAGATGTCTGAGTTTCGGTTTGCATATTGTTTCGTGATGGGCAAATGAGGTAAATTCACATTTATATGTGAAGTGAACCAAATTTCTCTCCCACTCTTACACCCATGCTGCTGTTCTAGTCCTACCAAAACAATTCCAGATTGTGGTTAAGCATTTGCGTGCAGCAGAAACCAACATGCCAAGGAAGTTGAAATCCCTGTCAATCACGTAATTTATTTGGAGTGTTCTGGGCTGTGCAAAATGTCAGAAATGAAATTTGAATTACCCGGTCAAGCAGGTTATGTATTTTTACTGGAAGATGGGGGGTTTTCAAAACAAACTTCCACCATTTTTAATAAGAAAATCCACATTTTTCCCCCTAGGAATTTTGACAGTTCTTGATAGAACACTCTCCTGATTTACAATTGGCGTTCAAGTACATTTGTATTCCAGAGTGATTGACACCTTTGATTAAACATATTTGTTTAACCTAGGTAATTATATATCCATTTTACAAAAATTACATCTCATCTGTCCATATTCTAATTTCTCTGTAAAAGGGAACAGCATTAAAGGTCTTAATAAAATTGAGATATGTTATGTCTGCTTCACTTCCCTTATCCACTAAGCCTTTTATCCTTTCAAAGAACAGAAATTAAGTTGGTCTGGATGATCAGCTTTTCACAAACAAGAGGTGCCTGCTGTTTATCACCTTATTCTCCTTGCAAAGTGGCAGCTTTATTAATCGTTACAGCTATTTACTGCTTGCTGTACTAATCTTAAAATTACTCCTCTGTAACAGTGTGACTTTCCTATTTCTTGCTTCTTAAACTAAACCCCCTCTTCTTTGCCCCAACAAATGCCCACTCAATCACAAACTTGGAATTGCATTCAATAATTAAATGTAACAATCCCCCCCCCAAAGTATAAATGATATACTTTTCTATTCTGTACCACCTGCGGCACAGACCTGAAAGCAAATTCTTCACCATCACGAGAAGGCCTGGGCTCTGATGTCCATGGCTCTGGTGGGTGGACCTGACGTCTTCAAAGCCATACCAGTAACATGCAACCTAAACACATTTAGGTGGTGATCCAAACCACCTGTGTTCTAGGCTGGGATCTCCAACTTGCCTGCTGAGCAGATGGGCAAGCTGAAGAACTGGAGAAAGTTGCAAAGCAGAGCAATGCAATCACTTGGTGGCATTAGAATGTTTCAGGCCCAAATGTGCTAGCTCCAGATTGGCACAGGGATTTGCCTGCCCCCAGCTTTCTACACCAACTGGCATGACTGCTAGAACTGGAGGTGCAGTGGTGGCTCCATCATGCCCAGTCAGGGTTGGGACAGTCCTATGAGGCAACCCTACTTACGTTTACCAATAGAGCTTGCAACTACATTGGAATTAACAGGGTTAATGGCCCAGCTGGATGGTAATATCTTCCGCAGTTCTTGGTTTAAAACCTAAGCAATTGCAAATATCCTTTCCCTTACGCTGCCCTTGCAGTGATGCCTCTGCAAGGCAGGGTGTTGGTTCTAGTTTTGCAGTTGGTACAATTGCCTAAATATGCCGTGAGAGTAGCTGGCGAAACTCTGGGGTTTCAACCTGTAAACTCAGTGGGTGAGCCTCAGACCTAGTCTTGTCAACTACCAGAAGTGAGTGAGTGAGCGTGTACCACTGCAACGGGAAGGTAAATGGCATTTCTGTGAACTTGGCTTCCGTCACAGCGTTCCGTTGCACCAGAAGTGGTTTAGTCATGCTGGCCACACAAACTGGAAAGCTGTCTGTGAACAAACGCCAGCTCCCTCGGCCTGAAAAGTGAGATGAGTGCCCCACCCTATAGTCACCTTTGACCGGGCTTAACTGTCCAGGGATCCTTTACCTTTTACCTAAATGGACCACCCTCCTTTATCACAAGCTCTCAAGACTTAGAGCTCTCTTCTGACAACCAATAGTAGCAGTTTCCAGGAGCACCATTGGCGGAGTCCGCTTAGAACCTTAAACAACACAGCATTTATGAGACACATGGACCAGGAAGGGACTACAGTAAAACAGGGCACTGTCATTCTTGAGTCATTATAACTGTAAACATTGCTAAAAGTGGAACATTTAATGTGCTCCTCGGTGGACTTTAAAATGCTAAGAAATGATGTGCTGGGAGGTGTTTATGCGTC